CCGCCGCCCATAGGCGCCTGAGGGTCGCGGGCGGCGGCGGCCCCGGGCATGGGTGCGGGGCGGCGGCGCCTGCCAGAGGCGCGGCGCATGGTCGCGGCAGGGGCAGGGGGAGGGGCGGTGCGGTGCGCCGGAAGCGTGGACGCGGCAGCAGCAGCGAAGAGCAGGCCGCATCGGAGGCAAGCAGTAGCAGCGATGGTGATGAGTGGCAGAGTCAGAGCGAGGGCGAGTAGGGCTGGGTGGGGTGGAGGGCAGGATGGTGTGCTGATGCTGACATGATTAGTATGACATGAACTTTATCATAATGGCAACAGCATGGGGTACGTATGCTGTCGTGATTATAGTGGGACGCCATTGTACTGGTTGATACAGATCTCCTGCATTGCTTCTCCCCCGACACCTGTGCTGTGTCTGTGCCATCATCCTGCACCTGCAGCTGTTGTCGTGATTCGTACCGTGATTATATCCCATTGTGCCCATCTGAGACCTGTAAATTTGCTGCCTCGCATTCTATCGAGCGCTGAGTATGGGGGTACGGCACGTGCCCTGGCTGCTGTAGTCGGCAGCCGAGCAGAGTCGCTGCAAAGTGAGTGTGCACCAGGGAAGGTGAGTGTGCACCTGCCGCTGCTGCTGCTGCTGCTGCTGCTGCTGCTGCTGCTGCTGCGCCCGCAGCGGCTGCTGCAGAGGCACAGTGACGTCACCCCCACCACCGCCCCCCCGCCCCTGAAAGGGCAAGGCAGCTGTAGACTCGGTGTCGCTGCTGTCATCAGGCTTGCCGCGTTTGGGACCCATTGGCTGTGGTGTGTCAGCTGATAGGGATAAGGTCAGGTCCACAACTGTGGTAGGAGCGGCGGAGGAGAGGGTGTGGGTGTGGTGTTGGCTCAGATTGGGTAAATGAGGGGTGCAAGGGCTGGTACAGGGGCTATCAAGACGCACAACGCCGACACAGGGTCCTCTGCCAGGCCGGACGCGAACCACGCAAGTGGAAAACCTCGCACCTTCGCCGGCCCTGTTCATCACATTTTCAAAGGGATGGGCTCATGATCGTTGCCTGGGCGAACACCTTGCTGGGCAAGCCTCCTCAAAAGAGGCCAGTTGTTGGGCTACTTCCATGGGATTACTCCCACGATCTGGGAGTCACCGGGTGCCCCGCCGCGTTAGGAGCGCAACCGTTCGCCGCAGCTGTGCGGGGCTTATGAAACGGCATTATTCCAGCACCGTGCATTTGCGCCCTTTGCCGCTTTTTTCTGTAACCCGAGCTCAACTGCTCAAGCCCCTTCTGCCGCTCTGATCGACTCGCCGTCGCGCTCAGGTGATTTCGTGATATGAGTTCCGGTGGAACGGGTACGGGCAGGGATACCCCACTCGCTTTGTGCACTCCGCTGCTTGCCGCACACTTGCTCCTTTGATCCCCGGTGAGACGGTGACGGCCGACTACGACTCCAAGGTAGTGAGGTATACTTTTATTTTATACGATACGACGATTTTTACACATTTTAATCCAGTCGCTTGCATCAAGGACATTACAGGGAAGCTGAGGGTGACTGAGTGCCGGGTGACGCAAAGGGTCAAGTTTATTTCCTGAGGCCGGGCGCAATCGGGGGTGGACTTTGCTGCAAGGCGGTTGAACCCAAGTGCCCGCTGTCGGCCTGTAAAGCACTTGGCGTCCAACTACCACTAACGTAGTATACAGGGCGCGAGTATGATCCAGGACAAGCGTTGACACGGTGCACCAATGCACCAGTCCAGCGTGCCAAGACAGCGTGTTGTGTGGGTACCATGGTGGCACACGACCTTTGCCTTGTCGTAGAACTACCGTACACCTGCAAACTGGGCCTGACACAAATAGAAGTATAGCTCAACTACCGTACCTGGGAGTCGTAGTCGGCCGTCACCTTCTCACACGGGGGCGTGGAGTGGCAAGTGTGTGGCAAGCAGCAGAGTGCTCAAGGCGAGTGGGGTATCTGTTATGGGGATGAAGCTGATGTGAAGCTGATGTGAATTGAAGTACACCTCAACCACGTTGGAGTCGTGGTCGGCCACCACCGTCTCACCGGGATCAAAGGAACACGTGTGCGGCAAGCAGCGGGGTGCACAAAGCGAGCGGAATATCCCTGACTGAATGTACATTCTGCGTGCTTGGCAGCGAACACCTTGGTTGGCTCATCACAAATCATCGACGCCGAGTTGCCAGCTTGCCACTCGCCACAGGCCCAGCATGTGGTGTGCATGGAGATCACTCATGCATGTGACGGTGATAGTGCTGGTTCTCAACACGCTGGGCGGCGCCCTGTGTGCCAGGTGCGCACGCGGGCGTGTGAGGCCGGGGATGTGCAGGTAACGATCGGAGCGAGCGCCTGACACGGCCAGTTTGGCGCACAAGCAATTGTATAAAATAATCACTGCCATGCACCGGTAGGCCCCACAACTTGCACATGGAAGCCTTCGCACATCAGCTTGGCGGTGGATGACACCCCACATATTGTCTGTAAGCTCACCGCCCACACCCCAGCTGGTGTGCTTCTTGCCCTACAATGCATGCCGCCCCTGCTGCACGCCTCCACTTTACCCGTCTTCACACCTTATGCGTGCAATTCACGCTGATCCGCACCGCCGTCCTCCCGTTGCTCCCACCCTCTTGACACCACCCGCAGCCCCCAAGCGACCCCCAAGCAGAAGCTGGCTGTTGTGAGTGACGCCTGCGTGCCACGCAATGTCTTGTTGCGCACCTGAAGGCGCGCACCAGCTGATTGCTTACTTTTGTTCGCGCCAGTATGGAGGCCATGCATGTAGGCATGTGCCTTGCGGCCATGCACAAATGCCCGCCTGCCCCGCGCTGTGTGTGTGGCTTGCGTGAAGCCAGCGTCATGCTGTGCAGGCATGAACCAACCCTGCTTTGATCGCACACCCCCGTACAGTGTGCGCCCGTCAAGGCTTTGATCAAGTCATGCACCTCTAAGGCCGGCCCGACCGCCCTGATGGACCAGCTATGCAGCGAGTTGCTGGCACCTGCCAACGCTACGGCCGACAGCAAGGTGCGCGCGTGCGTTCGCGCACACAAACACACGCACGCATGCACACACGCACGCAGACAGGTGTCTGTGTTCTCATATGACAGCAAACGGACGCGATCACACAGTCGTGACTTGCTTGGTTGTTTGTGGGTGAAGGCAACTTCAGCTCTTCCAGCACCACAACTGTTCAACCGTCGAGATGTTGCTCTGAATTGACTAATCACCACACTGGTTGCTCTGCACTTTGATCAACCGGCACACTTCCATTCCCCAGGACCCCACCAAGCTGCGCTATGGCTGCGGCGCGGCAACCGCTGCACAGATCAACCGAGTGTCCAGTGACCTGGCAGCCCTTGAGCCCAAGGTCACCGCCGCCGCCGCCCAGGCCAGCTCTTTGCAGGCCACCTTCGTCCAAGGAAGCAACCAGACAGCCGCGCTGCGCGCTCAGGTGGATGAGCTCAAAGCAACTATTGCGGCACTCACCGCCGCCGTACAAAAGCTGCAAGCAAACGCGGCCAACGCCACGGTCCCGGGCACCATCACTCAGCAGCTCGCAGCCCTCACAGCGGCCGACATGCGCACCGCCCAGCAGCTGGCCCTGCTGGAGGCGGCAAACCAGACTGTGGCCCGCGACATTACGGCGCTTAAGTCTGCGCCGCAGCAGTGCTTCTGCGGCCTGGAGCTCTCAGCCGTCAACACCACCCTGGCCGCCATCATAGCAGCCCAGGCGGCGGATGCCACGTCAGTGTCCCTGGCCAACGCCACAGTGGCGTCCCTGAAGGCGACAGTCACTGCAAGCGCGGCAGACATCGCTTCGGTCAACACAACCCTCACCGCCCTGGCAGCCAATGTGGCCAATGTGTCTGCCATCGACTTCAGTGTCTACGCAAAAACCGCTGACTTGGCCAACATCAACGCAGTCAGCCTAGGGGGCGTACCTGCGGCGCAGTTCCTGCGCTTGCGGGTGGTGCTGTACCGTGAATCTTTGACAACAACCAGGAAAGGTAATCTTGGCGGCCGGCCTGGTGCGGACGCCTTGTGCAGCGCCTCCCCCAACCGGCCGACCGGGCTTGTGCAGGTGCGCGCGTTCCTATCAATATCTGCATCCGACCAGATTGCCGACTTCGTCACAAACTACGGCGTCCCCAATGGCCTGGCAATTGAGTCGCCGAGTGGCGCCGTCCTGGCCCGCAACTTCACAGGCCTGATGGGAGGCAGCATCATGATATCCTTGAGGAATGCGGGCTTGTTTACGGGGAATTCATTCTGGTGGTCTGGCAGTGGATCAAACGGAGTAGTCGCAGCCCAAACATGCAATGGATTTACCAGTGAAGCAGTAGTAGATGTGGCACTGAACGGGTTTGCAGGCGCTACTGATGGCCAATGGTTAGCAGCGGCCGTAGGTTCTTGCGCCGCCCTCAGATTCTTCTTGTGCATTGCTTACTAGTCTTACTAGTCTGACAGTAATGCCATTACCAAGTCTCAGGAAGCACACAGTATTGCACTCAGTCAGGCTGCAATCAGCGAGGTATAGCCTGGATCACTCTGCACACGCCTGCGCATCTATCAGTTGGGCTTCATCCTGTTGCCCAACAGCACACTGGGTCGTGCTGCGCGCACGTACTTCGCGACTGATGATGATGGATGGGCCTGCTGCCTGGATCTGTTTGTGCTTCCACTGCACAACTTGCGCGGTCCCACAACTGCTGTCCCCGTTTCAGCAGAGCATACTGTGCGCCCTCAATCAATTGATGAGTCAGCACATCAAAGAACGGACTTTCGCCACGTTCTTTCACAAACTGGTGCACATACCACGTTCTTTCACAAGCTCGTGCGCATCGTCTGCGCTCCTCGTCACTTGGTAGCTTGCCGTACACGCGAATGCCCGCCGCCTCCTGCCCACCAGCAGGCGCCCGGTGCGTACGTACACAGCAGTGCACACGTGCAAAGCTCCGTGTTGTGTTCATATAGGCTTTACTTTCAACCATGACTGGGCAAGCCGTTACCAGGAAACCGTTATGAATCAGGGGGTGCCACACACGTGGATGGCAAAAGCCGAGCAGCAAAGGCCAGTAAGCTCTTGTGGCACAGCCGGAGTTCCCATCGCAGGGTGTGTTGACGGCGACAATGCATCTGGGCAAGAAGCGGGCAGCTTTGGGAGCGGCTGCACACGGTACGGTACCATGGTGGGCTTGCGAGTGCCTGCCGTCACTGCGGTCATGTTGACGGTGCAAGTCATGACCAGGTCATGACACCGGCCAAGCACTGTACAGTAGTTGCGAGAGCATCCGCCTGGCTGCTTCGTGACAACTCGGTGATCGGTGATACCGTGGCAAAGTTGTACCAAGCAGACGGACTGATCGGGGAGTGATCGCGCCAGTTCGGTTGTAATATACCCCTCGTAGTACCATCTTCACCTCTGCTGCATTCAAGCAGGGCAGCAGCGGCGTTGCCATCGTCCGAAGTGACGCGCATGCAGTGTTGCTGCGTCCCAAAGTACAGAGCAGCAATGCGCAAAGGGTCGGCGCCGGAGGTGCCCAGCGTCCCACTGCCCATGGTAGTGCTGCTCATGGCTGGCGCATTCCTGTGGGGCCACTTCGCGACCCAGCACCTGGTGCAGCAGGTGAGCAGGCACTCCAGGATTGCCCACAGAGTGAACCCAACATCAGCGATGCTGCAGCTCCTGCATGCAGCCCCCGACCTTCCCGGCCCGCCCTGCCTTGCCCTGCGCGCAGCCGCCGCGGGCGACCCCCGCCCCCGCCCCCACGACCAAGGCCGCCGCAACCGCACCCGAGCCCGGCGGCAGCGGCGGCGCGCATGGGGAGGAGCAGCAGCAGCAGCAGCAGCAGCAGCAGCAGCAGCAGCAGCAGCAGCAGCTGCGCGAGATGGGCCCGCTGGGCGAGGAGTTCCTGGAGAGCTCCGGCTTGCTGCGGCTGCGGCCGCCGCTGCCGCCGGCCGAGTCCGGCAACCACTTTTACACCGTCCAGCCCTTCCAGATCCTCAGCTGGTACCCCAGGTGTGAAGCTTCCCTGGCGCGCCAGCCTGCACTCGCACCTATCACGCACGCCGCGAGGGCGGCACGCCATGCCGACGGGCGCGGAAGGCCGCGAGGAATGCCGGGGAGAACGCAGGCTTGGAGCCAGCCTGAGCTGGCAGTGCGGCCGGGGCGGACGCACGGGAGGCCCTGCCGCCAGGATGCACTGCGGGCAGACGCCCGTCCAACCAGGCAGGCAGTGTGGCCCCCTGTTTTCTGTCCTCGGGCCCGGACCCCATTGCCCTCCTCTCCACCCCGTCTGGCTAGCCACTCACCACCCAGCAACAGATAACCAACCACCGCCCGCAATGCCGCCACCCTGACCGTGACATCATCATGACGTCATCGCCTTGATCCCCCCCAGGATTGTGGTGTACCCGAACTTCATTGACCCTGACCGCTGCGACCACATCATAGGCCTGGCGCGGCGCAAGCTGCGGCGCAGCGGCCTCGCCTGGCGGCCGGACGAGACGCCCAAAGCCAACCAGGTCCGACCCGGGCGCCGACCCTGGGGCCGTGGGCAAGGGGCAAGGGACCCGATTTGGAAGGGCGGCAGCGGGCGCAGGGGGGGCTTGCAGCCTCACAAGGCTCGCCGCCGCGTGCTGTGGAGCCGGGCGGCCTCGTGGCGCGGGCGGGCGGGCGCCGCCGGCTCACCGCCACGGCTCATAGGTCAGCTTCGCGCGGCCCTTGGGTGTGCACTGTCCCGGAATCATGGCCACCGCCTGGAATCTCAACGTCGGCTCTATCGCAGGACACGCGCACCAGCCTGGGCACGTTCCTGGACGCATCAGAGGACCACGACGGCGTGCTGAGGTGGCGGGGGGCATGTGGCTGAGCGGTGGGGGGAGGTCTCGGCTATTGGAGTATTGAGTGTTGTTTGAGGAGGGTCCCCTGGCAAACTAACTACCAATGGAATTTCAAGAGACACCTTCACACCCAATTGTGCACATACACACACACACACACACACACAAATCACACACACACACACAATACAAAGCGCACACACTATGCACGCGCGCACCCGTACCAGGTGGATAGAGGAGAAGATCGCCGCCGTGACTCTGCTGCCGGTCGATCACGGGGAGGTGAGGACCCGTGTGTTATTGGGTCACCGGTTTGAAGTGTACCACAATGCAATATAATGCCTGCCACATAGGAACAGAGCATGGCTCAAAGGGCGGGCCGCAAGGCACCACTCGCTCAGCTGTTTGACCACCGCCGTTGCAACCACATAATCGCCGCCGGCAGGCCGAAGGGCCTGCCGACCAAAGCGCGCGGCCCCCCTCAGCCTCCAGCGCGCTAAGTCCACCCTTCTGGATGCCACTGTGACGGCACCCAACTCCAGGCGTTCAACATTCTGAAGTACGACCTCGGTGCCCACTACGACAGCCATATGGTGGGCGGATGGGGCAGGGCGGGGTGCAGGCCACACCGATCTGCCCTTGACGCCATCTCTCCCTCCTGAGTCAAATGCCCGCGGGACGAGCTCTACAGCGGGGACGGGGCCGCCACTGCCAACACCTTGTACACAGCTGCACTGGAGCACGCGTTCAGGAAGGGCGTCCACCTGCAGAATCCAGCTGCCACAGTGTTGTGACCAAGAGGCGGCGATCGCATACCTGGTTGCACCGTCACGCACCTTGCCTCATGCACACATTCACGCGCCTGGTCACACACTCGCGCATGGCCGCATGGCCCGCAGGACACCTTTGAGCCGAAAGACTTTGGCCCTCAGCCCAACCAGCGGGTGGCCACTGTCCTACTGTACCTCAGCGGTGAGGCTACTGGGGAGATGCTGGGGGCAGGGGCCTGAAGGGCGGACGTGTCAATGGCTGTAGGATCGGCCGGCAAGCCTGGCGTTTGGACAGCAGCACGGGTTGCCACGGAGATGCTGGTGTCGCCGCTCGCCCCCTGCTGCCGCTGCCTACGCCGATGCCGACCCCTTGGGCAGCAGACGGTCATTTGGCCCAGCGCAAGGCGGGGGGCCCCCGGTCCCTTTCTGGGCAACAACCCCACAGTGCCCCCAAGCTGCACTGCTGAAACGCTCGCTGGCTCCGCCTGCGCGCCCGCTCGCCCTGCCCGGCTCGCGGGGCGTGCAGACGTGGAGGAGGGGGGCGAGACGATATTCAAGCGGGAGGGCAGGGGCAACGCGGACAAAGTAATCACGGACTACAAGTCTTGCGACGAATGTGAGTCATGGCGCTGGGTGCGTCGCCACGGCGCAGTGACGTCAGATGTGCAAGCACCCTGCCTGCGCTCGCAGTTCGTTGGTACAGGGACGCGCCTGCTTGGCCTGGCCGCAACATAGGTGTGCTGGTGGCACTTTGCGTCCGCGGCACGAGGTCGAATCGCGCACAAGCCCGCACTGTGGCCGCCAATTCCGATCGCTCCCTGTGCCGCCTGCTGCACGCCCTGCCGTCTTCCTTGCCAACCCCTCCTAACAGCCGTTTTCAAGTACAAGCCCCGCAAGGGCGACGCGGTGCTGTTCCACAGCCTGGACCCCGACCTAAAGATCAACCCCAGGTCGCTCCACGGCGGCTGCCCCGTCATCAAGGGAGAGGTGCGCCCTGCTCAGCTTGGTGCCTGCAGCGCAGGCAGGGTGTGGCCTGTGGGGCTGGCTGGACCGGCCACCGTGCTCATATGAGACGCGTGGCAGACGCATTTGGGTCTGAGATTGTTTGAGGTGCGTGGCCCGTCGGCTGCGCCTCTGCCGGTTGTGCAGCTGAAGCTGCATGGCGGCATGCGGGAATGCAAGACTGACCGCCGCTTGTCACTCTCGCGCATCCGCAGAAGTGGGTGGCGACAAAGTGGTTGCACGAGAAGGTCTTCCGCGAAACGGGCTACGCCTCCTGAACTGGCGCCTCCAATCCCTCGCCTCATGACTACGTCCTGGGCCGGCTGTGGCCACAGCGCTTCGTCACCAGTGTGACCGGCGGTGCTGCGACCCCAGCAGGCCGTCTGCATGTGCCGCTGAAGTGCGGGTGCAGATGTTATGGCTTGGCGGGATGTACAGTGTAGGTCTGGGCGGGCAGCCTCTGCCCCAACCGACCTGTCAAGTGTGCAATATCATCATTTAAAGCATGTGTGCCTTGTTGCGCAAGATCTCAGTGTCTTGGAAGGCAGCTCTCCATCACCTCTGCCAAAAATCGTTGTGGCCAGCTTGTGAGTAGCACCTCGGCAGCTGAACAGGTTGGGGCGTGGTTTGAAAGGAGGCGTACTTGTTTCTTCGGGGGTTGACCATCTGCAACGAATACATTTCTGACTCCAATATAATGAATGCCATTCGCGGTTGCAGCATTCTGGGGACAATCATTCAAAACGTGGTCACCCTGCCATCTCAATTTAGCCCTACTCCACAGCCACATGTCCGTCCACCCAGGGGCTGTCAGGGCAATTGTTTGCGGCGAATTAACAGTGTGGCTGAACTTTCAGATATGGATGGCACAAAAGTATTCACAGGCTGTTACAGCAAAAAACATTGGCAGCTGCAGGGAAGCGCGCAGGACAAACTCAAAAGTGCTGCTCTAAAACCTACAAAACAAAGAAGAGAGGCGGCGGAAAAAAACTTGCTAATGATGCACTCAGCGCGCCTTTTGGTCGGCCCACCGCACGGTCAGCGCGCGCGCCCGAGGGTCCGTCGGGATCACCGCCCCGTTGGCGCCCTCGATCGCGGCCTGCGCCTCGGCCTGCGACGCGTACGTCACAAACGCGTAGCCGCGGCTGCGGCCGTCGGAGCGCGGCAGGGCCAGTTCCAGGATGGTGCCAAACTGCGCGAAGAAGGGCATCAGGTGCTCCTCGGACAGATCAAAGCTGATCTGGCCGACGAAGAGCTGTGCGGCGAGGCAGGATGCGCAGCAAGGGAAAGGGGCACAGGGGCGGGAGGGGTGTGTCAAGCACGGCTTTGGTCTTCAGGAGGCAGTGCGTTTCAGGGGCCCTGGTGGCCCGCCAATTCCGCGTGTGGTCCACCAACCAGGTGTGCGCTGTGCAGAGGCGGGCAGCAACGTCGCACCACCAAGCGCCCAGGCAGCCCTGGCAACGCGGCCTGTGATTGGGCCAGTGACGACCCCTGCAGGCCCAGGCAGACGCGGCTTCAGGTGTCCCCAGTCGGCCCACCCCCCCACCCCACTGCCCTCTCACCTTCCACGCCTTGGCTGCGGCGAGCGCAGCGTTGGGGCCACTGGTGGACGCGCCCATGCCCATGCCCATGCCGCCCATCCCCATCCCCATGCCGCCCATGCCCATCCCCATGCCCATGCCGCCCATGCCTGGCATACCCATGCCTCCCATGCCTCCCATGCCGCCCAAGCCGCCCATGCCGCCCATCCCCATCATGCCGCCGCCGCCGCCCATGCCCATCCCCATGCTGGCCGGAGGCAGGCCCGGCCCAATCATGCCGCCCGCGCCCGCGCCGCCCGTCACGTCAAAGCCGCCGCCCAGCTGCGGTTGACCCGGCATCTGCGGCGCCTGCCCGTAGCCGGCAGCTGCCCCTGCACCCTGGGGGGCGCCGGCGGCCCCTGGCACGCCGAACTGGCCGGCCGCTGCGCCGCTCGCGTCGGCGCCGTACCCGGTGCCCCAGCCGCCGCCCATCGCCGCCGCGCCGCCGGGCGCGCCGCTGGGCGGCGGCGCGGGGCCGCCCAGCTGCTGCTGCTGCAGCTGCTGCTGCTGCTGCTGCTGCGGCTGCTGCTGCTGGCCGGCGCCGCCCATGCCCTGCATCCCGGGCATCCCCATACCAGCACCCATGCCCATGCTCTGCGCCATCATGCTCTGCGGTTGGGCAGACGACAAGGGCGGCGGCGGCCAGTGGATGGCCGAGCAAGGCAGGTCAAGCGTCAAGGCTCGCGACGCGTCTGTCGCAGACTGCTGCGGCCCCCACATGTGAGTTGGCTCCATTGGTTGTGGGTCCTCCAACACCCCGCCCCCGGCCCTTACTCCAGACCCCCTGGCGCCCCCACCATCATCATGGGGTTCATCATTGGGTTCATCATGGGGTTCATGCCCATCATGCTCTAGTTCGTGAGAGGGGAGGGGAGGGGGGAGGACGGGATGCAAGAGGGATGGGGTGCCAGTCGAGGCGTCATAACCTGCCCAAACTGCAATCATGGATCCGCCCTTCTCTGCCCTGGGCTGCCCTACATGACACGCACCCCTTGGCAACCCCACCCATACCCTCCTTACGACGACCCACCATCATCATGGGGTTCATCATCATGGGGTTCATGCCCTGTGAAATGACGATGACAAGAGTTGAGCAGATGAGATGGCAGTTGCGACGCGGGTTGCGGGTAGCAACCAGCGAGGCGATAGCCGGTGTGTCGACGGGTGGCTGTTTGACGGCAGACTGTTTGACAAGAGGCAAGCTCTGGAAGCAGGGCCTGGAGCTGGGAACTAGTGACCATTCCCAGCTACAGGGCAAAACACCGCCCCCCAACCCCGCTGCACCGAGCCCCGCGCCTGCGCCCGACCCACCATGCCGCCACCGCGCCCCATGCCGCCCATAAACTGCCGCTTCCCGCCGCCGCCGCCGCCACCGCCGCCCATCATGCCTCCGTCCCACGCCCCGCGCTTGGTGCCGCGGCCGTCAAACTTTGCCAGCTCAGCGGGCTTTGCGTCTGCAAACTTGACCGTGATGGGGTGGGAGCCGCCGGGCAGCGTCGCCTTTTGGTCGACAGCCTTTAGTGCCGCCTCGGCTTCCGCCCAGCTTCCATAGCTGACAAAGGCGCAGCCTGGGGGCAGGGGGGTGTGACGCAGAGCAGGGTTCAGGGGGGACAAGGGGCGAAGTTCGTGGGGGGTGTGCACGACTGTCTGCCTATGTACCTGTGTGCGTGTGTGCACACGTGCACGTGTGCGTGAATGTGTGCATGCATGCATGCGTGCGTTCATCGGGCCGTCGGCGCAATGGGAGTGCAGCTTGCACAGAGAGCGCCTTGGAGGCGGCGCAGCTCGACCCACGGCGCCCACATCATACTGTCTGCCGCATGGTACGCAAGCACAGCCCCGACCAAGCGCGCTGTCATCTCGGACGGCGCTGGGTCCGCACGCGCACCCATGGAGCCCGGCTTGCGGGGCGGCATGGTGGTGATGTCAAGGATCGAGCCATACTGCTGGAACACGGCACTGATCTGGTCCACTGTCGCCGTGGGGGGCACCTGCGCGCAGCGGGCAGAGTCGCACAGAGAGCGGGGAGCGGGGAGGGGAGGGGCGGTTGTGGCGGCGGCGACGAGGGTTTGGGGCGCAACACCGCGAGTGCCTGGCCGCCACGCCACGCCCACGCCCACGCCGAATGCCGAACGCCGTGCCGACGGCGCAACAACAAGCTCGCACAAATCGCGTCGCTGCCGCGCTGCCACATGCGCTATGCACGCTGCCACGCTATCAACTCTGCACGCGCACTCTGCACGCTGCCACGCTGCCAACTCTGCACGTGCACCGTCCACGCTGCCACGCTATCAACTCTGCACGCGCACTCTGCACGCTGTCACGCTGCCACGCTGCCAACTCTGCACGCGCACGCGGCTTCCCACTCCAACGCCCCGGCCCCACGCCACCTGTCCGATAAACAGCTTCTTGGGGGTCACGCCACACAGCACGCCGTGCTCATTGCGCTGCGGGTCTGCAAACTTCACCACAGCCGGACGCGGCGCCGTCAGGGGGGATGCAATACCGTTTTCGGACGCGACGGCCGCCTCGGCGTTGGCCCAGCTCTCGAACAGCACCATGGCGCAGCCCTTGGACTTGCCGCTGTCGAGGTGCTTCAGCAGCACGGCGGTGCGCAGCTGCCCATAGCGCGAAAAGTGGGCGCTGACCTCCTCCTGCGTCAGTCAGATTGGGGGGATGGAGAGCGTGAAGAGGAGGGAGGCGAGCGGCGGCTTCGCAGGACCCGGGCGCTGCGGGAGGGTGAGGCAAGGTGGCCGTTCGGCGCTGCAAACAATACAACTCCACAGCCACAAAGCCTTCATCAGGCCTTTCGCTAAGCAAGGCGCTGTGCAGGGCAGAGATGGGTGTGGGGGCAGGGTGTGTCTCCTCGCCTGCGGCCACCGCAGCTGCTCACCTGCGTCACTTCGTAGCGCAGCCCACCGACGAAGACCTTGGGCTCCGCGCATACCGCGGTTGCCTCCTCGTGCTCCTGAGGCTGCTGGGCAAGGGACGCCATCGCAGCACGCACAGCGCTGCTTCTGGAAGCTGGGAGCCGGGGGAAGCTTTCAGAAGGACTGCAGGTCAGTAAAAGGATCAACGATTCAAAAACCACCCCGAGTGAGCCCGCGCGGACTCAGATCCAGTGATCAAGTTGAAGAATAAGGGTGAAACACGAAAGAACAACCAGACCTCTTGCCACAACGTGGTACGTTACAAACACTTGTGCTTGCGTGCCGACCTGGGCTTGGGGTCAGCCACAGTGGGGTCAGCAAAGGCGAGTGGAAGCAAGCAGCTGCCGGCTGACTCGCTAACGCCCTCGACTCAGAATTGGCATGCGACCAGGTGGGGCTTGTAGGCCAGTAAAAGCAACTTACATGTCTCAATCAAATAGGGCTAACCATATGCGGCGTCACAGCACCAGCAGGGGCCAGGGAGGTGTGCGCCCACCCCATCACTGTGCACCCAGCTAACACCTTGCAAACCGTTCACGGTGCAAACCCTCCTGGTGCATGTTATTTACACTGCGCATAAAAAAGGAGATCAAACGTAGTAGGACGAGTATTACACTGTAAAGCAGTGTGCGTTTAGCGCAAAAAGCATCCCAAGCACGACAAATACCAATAGACCGGCGGCGGGCAGTGCGCACACGCGTCGCCTCACGGACCCATCAATGCCCTGCAGCAGCTCGGCAGGCACAGCCTGGCGTAGCAAGGCGCCACCCCGAGGCTGCGCGCCCCGCGAGCCGCGGGGCACCTGCGTGCGAGGATGGCGGAGTGCGGCGACGTGGCCAGCTGCCCACCAATCGAGGGTGGAACGCTGTGTAGGAGAAGGGCTGCGGGATGCGCAGCAGACGCGCGCATGCGCAACGTGCCTCGCGGGTGGGGAGGAACCAGGTGGGCACAGGCGCTTTACGGAATGGGGGGGGATGCAGAGCAAGGGCATTCGCATGACATGGGTGACAGAAAAAGGTTCACTGGCGGCGCTGAGGGCACAACCAGGGGGATGCATGCCTCAGAGGAGCGCGCATGCCAGTGCCAAAGGCGAGCGTAGGTGGCGGGATCAAAGGCGTGACGGGTGCGGGGCTGGTGTGGCGGGTGGACGAATCTGAGGAGGTGCACAAGGCGCAAGCGCTTGGGGAAATCCCGCTGGTCAGCAGCGTTCGGGTAGAGAACATGGGGTGGGGTGCAGGCAGATGGGAAGGCAGGCAGGCAGGCAGACAGGCAGCAGGCTTTGCACTGGGACCAGATGGCTCTAACAGGACTTCTATGATGCAGTTGCGCGTTGAGCTGGTGGAGGCATGCACGGGGTCACACTGACCCCCTTGACACGCAACCGTGCGGGTGCCGGGCCCAAACAGCACTCGCAGCTCAAACCCGCTACATTTTGAGAATGATACGCGACACCCAGCGGCGCCACGCTGAAATACTGTGTAGAACACTGCACAGATGTGTGCAAGTGGCAGGAGTGATGTAGAATGTAGAATGTGGGGGGTGTAAAGGAATGGGGGGCGTGGCAAAGGTGTTGAAGGAAAGGCATGCGTGGCAGTGGTGACGCGCCGGTGGCGAACAGACTGGGATGGCCCAGACTCAGGCAGCATGAGGTGGCAGCTTGGGGTGCAGGACTGGGCCACCAAAACAATGATGCTATCAGGTTTGCGGCGCATTGTGCGCGACTCAAGGTCTCATCACTGCCACAGCGGGTGTGGAGCCGCGAGGGCAGCCCCGTCCTGGGGGGCCTGGGTGCACGTGAGTGGGGTGGGGTCCAACACACACTGAGGAACTGATGTCGTGGAGTCAAAGGCAAGACCCTTAGACGCAGAGGCAAAACCCTGCGGGCGCCGTTTCTGAGAGGTTTGCGGCCAGTTGAAGCGGGACCCTCCGAGGGCTCATGGGCAGATGCCTTGAATTGCAAAACACAATCAAATCGCAATGTTGCTGCCAGAGGGTGGGTGGCGCAGTCGTTGCTGCCACACAGTGCGTTCGAGACCGGAGACTGATGCAACCGCAGCCGCACACTCACACAGGCCGCCATCGATGCTGCATATGCAGCAGGCAGGGCAGCCCTGCTTCCAGCTGCTAGCATCCCGGCAGCGGCTGACATCAGCGCCCACTGGCATCGCGGCGGTCGCAGGCCAACTGCCTGGCAAGAGTGAAGGCTAGGGCTGCGTGGCAGCCGCAGCAGCCGAGAGCAGCCTGGCCCTCGCGACCACCTCTGCCAGCTGCGCCAGCAGCGCGCACTCGTCCGCCTGCAGGCCCCCCTCGCAGCCGCCAGCCGCGGGCGCGGGCATAAGCGCGGGCGCCGCGTCTGGCGGCTCGGCGCGGAGCGCGGCGAGCACGCCGCACACGCCCGCCAGCGCGGCTTGGACGCGCGGCTGCCCGGCGCGTGCGGTGCACTCGCGGCTGGCCAGGGCTTCTATGGCAGCCAGACGCGCCGCAGGTTCCCACGCATCAAAGGCGGCGAGCCCGTCTACGGCCGGCACCGCCGCAGCGGCTGAGGCAGGGGGGACGGTTGCATCTGGGAATGAGGTGGCATGCGCGGGAAGCTTCGGCCCCGCCAGCGCCTGGTGGCGCGCGCCTGCAGCCGGGCGCGGTTGGTTGCGCGCCCCTTGCGCGAAAGTGCCGGCGGCGGGCTTCGGGCGTGAGTGCGGCGTGCGCCTGTACGCACGGTTGGTCTGCTCTGCCGCCTCCAGCATCGCCGCTGCCGACCACACCCGCCGCCGCTGCCCCGCTACAGCCTGGACCACGCCCGTGCCGGTGCCCGGCACAGCCGCCGCCTCCGGCCCGGACCCGTCCGCCGCTGCCGCGCCCCCCTGCGCAAGCCTTGGCTGCTGGTTGGGCGGCTGCGCAGAGGGCGGGGCCAGCGGCAGGCACCGCTTCGAGCCGCTGAGTTGCCACGCTGGGGCGTGGCGCTGACTCTGGGAGCCACTCGAGGCCTCGCTTGCGCCCACGCCGCCGGCGCCAGAGCCGGCGCAGGCGCCGTCGCCGCTGCTGCGAGCGGACGCCCCGTCAGGCGCGGTGGCGGCGGCGCCCAAGGCGCCGTGGGCGGCGGCCACGCCGCCCGACGCAAACTGGGCAGCTGTTAGCCAGCCACTGCCGCTGGCAGACGCCACTGGGCCACTGCCAGGGGCGCTGCGGAGGTAGAGGCGGAGGGGCGGCGTAGCCGGTGGCAGCGCGCTGCGGTTGGTGTGCCAGAGGGAAGGCATGCAGCAGCGCGCCTCTAACCGCCGCAAGCATCTGCCCCATGATGTGCGTCGTGTTTGTTCCATCACACACAGGGACTCACCCTGCCGACATGAGCAGCAGCAGCCGCTGCCTGGCGTCCAGTTGGTTCAATGTGCCGTGCACAGGGCCGGGGTCTGATGACACACGCAGGGTGGCTCGTAGCCAATCGGCCGCTGCCGCTGGACTTTGGGGGTTTACAACCGTAGCTTCAAGCATCGAGCAGAGCTGGGTCGAAGTTGTACTGTTACGACGCAGGTCCATGCTGGACGGGCCCGCAGCCCCCGCAGGCGGCCACGGGGGAGCCTGCGGGTGACTCGACATACTGAGAAAAGAATAAGTGAGATCTGCAAAATAAGAAACAATAATGCAGGCCGGCCGTGTCGGAGGGCGAGCCGGCGGAGCTGGGCTGGGCAGCGGGGGCCCGTTGATCGACCGGTTTGTTGGGGTGAGGCCGGCGTACCAAGCTGTGAGAAATAGTGATCGTCAAGGTTACTTTGACATCGACAGGGATTGCTGCGCAAAGGGGAGAACAGTGGTCGGCGCCAGTTACTACCATCGTTCGGGTGGCTGCTCTGCAGACACGGTGCAGACGCATCTGCCGGCACTATCCTTCCGAGATCAGTCCGGAATTGAGAAAATTTTTAATTGGATGGCCAGCAGCCGCAGGCCGCGGGCAGACACTTCGGGCAACCAGGCGCGCCGTACCTCATGCCCCGGGCAACGCTGCGAAGCTCGCCGCGAAGTCCAGCAGCTGTCGGCGCCAGCCGAATCATACCCCAATCGCAACTGCCCAGCTCACCGACTGGGCTGTAAGCTCGGACATGGTCACTGCTTTGCGGTGTTACAGGGGCAGTTATTGCTGATTCGTTAAGTGTGACCTGAGGCTGCAATGCTCGCCTGTGCCAACAGGGCACCACGGCCAATGCGCCTGGGAGCCCCGGTCACAAGTGCTGGAGCTGGGGTATCAATGATAGAGACTAAAACTGCGAATGGCAATGCAGACCAGGCAGGGGGCTGCTTCAACGTAAGCAACTCTCCAAACCGCGGAGTGGGCGCGCCCGCCCAGCAACAAAGGGTCGGCCCTGTCCAGTTTCCGTGAGCAGATAATTCGATGGCCAACACGGACGGTGCGTCCGGGGCACGCGAATGCCACACATGAGGAACCCAACTGAGGGGAGGAGCGCGAGGCGTGTCACACCGGTGGGCGCTGCAAGCTGCACGCAAGAACACGCCCGCAGAAGCGAGGGCGGCAAACCCAATCACCAACAAACGCCTTCCGTTCGTATGGGCTGGGTACGGCCGCAGCCCTTCGTGTAGGCGCCGCACAGGGACAGCTGGGCGCTTATTCTGGAAGGGACGGGCGGCCTTGAAGGGCAGCACAGGGCAGGGCAGCGCGCCCCGACCCGGCCCCCTCAGTCCTCAAACAGCACGGTCTTGTTGTCGTGGACGAGCACGCGGTCCTGCGCACGCAAGAGGTAGAGTGGGTGGGTTGCGGAGGACAGAGTGGGTGGGTGAGGGACGGCGGGGGTGAGGGAGAACCAGCATGCGGCGGGGAGGCGCGTGGCGCCTGCCGCGTGCTGTAGTAATCCACGCTGCTGCGGCCAGAGCCAGGGCCAGGCCCAGACCAAAGGGCCAGTGCCAGGGCCGCAGCGCCGGGTGTCACAAGGGCGGCGCGCGGAGCCAGGAACACCCGCGGCCGCCCCTCTGGCGCGTGCGCGCGGCGGCGCGTGCGCGGGCGCACCTGCAGGTGCCACCGCACCGCCCTGGCCAGGACCAGCCGCTCCAGGTCCTTCCCCTTGCGCACCTTGGGGCGTGGGGGCGGGGGGTTGGGTGGAGGGTTCCAAGGTTCAGTGTTTACGGGGGGCAGGTTTGGGGGGGAGGTGAAAACTGTTTTTTTGGGGGAGGGGGGTGAAGGGTACGAGAAGGGGAGACACAAGGGAGCAGGTGCCATGTGGCAGGCGGCGCGCGAGGTGCAGAGGTGTGGGGGTGAGGCAGAGCGTTCTGAGCTGAGGGGGGTTCGAACTTTCGAACGTTGACCATTATATGGGGCGACAGCCAGCAGCCCGCAGCGCACACACAATCCGGCCGCGCCATCTGATGCCAGCACTAAGCACAGCCACGGTCTGCAGGCAGCAGGGTCCAACCAGCAGTCGGCCCGGGCAAGGGCACACAGGGGCGGGGGCGGACGCGGCCGCCCCTGTGGCTGCGGCGCACCATGTCTGCGGGGGTGTCCCTGTGCGTGATGCGCGTGATGTCCTGCTCGATGATCGGGCCTGGCAGGCGGGGGCGATGTGGATGGGGGCCGGATGGCGGCGCCGCGGTGTTGAGGTGAGAGTGACCCCGTGTGCGGAGAGGCTGACCAGCAACAAATTGGCTGCAAGAGAGCGCCCAGCGTGTAGATCCCACCTCAAGTGCGCGTCCCCAGCACGCACGCACAGCAGGCATGGCCAGCTAGCACCGACGTGGCGCACGAGGACGACTGCACGCGCGCCCACCCACCACGCCCCTGCGCAGAGCTCAAGCACCGACCCCACGCGCCACGCCCACCACACCCGGCAAGGCCAGCACACCCAGCACACCCAGCACGCTTGGCGCGCCCAGCATGCCCAACATGCCCAGCATGCGCGGCACGCCCAGTGTGCCCAGCCCACACCGCACGCCCAACACGCCCAGCGCGCCCAGCGCGCCCAGCGCGCACCCGCGTCGAGCTCGCTGGTGGCGTAGTGTGCCGTGGCGCCGATGATCTTGACGCCGCGCTCGTGGGCGCGGTGGTAGGGGCGGGCGCCCTCGAAGGCCGGCAGGAAGGAGTGGTGGATGTTGATGGTGCGGCGCCAGTTGGCGGTGCAGAAC